TTCTGTGGAACCTACGTTAAGCTTGTTGTGTGTACCACTGGCAATAATCAAGGAAGAAAGGAATACAAATGTCCAAATTTGGAGGTATGATGAATTTTTTTGTATTGTTGATGATGAATTCGTTTTTCTTATGATTGATGAATGATGCTTATGCTTAGGATGGTAGAGAACACCTTCAAAAGTGGTGGGATGATGCAGTTAATGAGGAGTTTACTGTCGTCCATAACAAATTTGAAACCCAGAAAGAATCAATCCACCACGCTTACCAAAATCCTATGTTGGAGTCCCTTCGCGAGTCTGTTCGAATTATGCGTGCTCAAGTCGATGATCTTCATAAGCGTTTGGAGGAGAAAGAAACTGAGATTGGTAGGCTGAAGGAGTTGCTATCTAAGTGGTAGTAATAACCACTTATGTATTTATGTATTCCTCTAAATCTTTGTAGACTTCTTATGTTTGTAATAACCCTATGTAGACTAATCTCCTTTATTTCCTATTAGTTTCTTAAGTTTGAACTAGTAACCTAGTTTTATTTCTAAATGTTTAACAAGTTGTACCACAAAGTTGTACCGTCTTGACCAGTTGTACCGTCTAGTTGTAATTGTCAAATTTTTTATTTGACAATGGTTAACAAGTATTTGACCTAGTTTTATTTCTAAATGTTTAACAAGTATTTGACCAATTTTATTTCAAAAGTTGTCTTCGCTTTGACATAGTTGTACCACGAAGTTGTACCGACTTGACCAGTTGTACTGCCTTGACCAGTTGTACCGACTGAACACAGTTGTACCCAAAAGTAGGAAATCTAAAATTAACCAAAATAACAAGTACTAACTCCAGGTACAACCAAAATAACATCAACAATAGTTCCTACTTGTTCAAAACACAAATAATCATGTCCAAAAGATTTTTTAGTTTTTTCCTACACCACCAGCACACATCAACCATAGTTCTTACTTCTTTCTCCTTCTCTTCGGCTGCACTTCCACAAATGGTGTCTTAATATGTTGAGAAGCTGCCCTTGTTCGCTTCTGTCCGGTTGCTATTACAGGTCCACCCTCTTGCTGCAACATCCTCTTTGTCTTCTTGCCCTTCTTCTTCTCTTTTCCTTTCATCTCTTCCTCATTCTTTTTCTCCTCCTCATTCTTTTCCTCCTCCTCATCACCTTCATACAATGTACAAAGAAAACAGTTTATTAGTCCACTTTAAAAGTTCAATAAATAACCAAGAAACTTCTACACTCACCTTGTTCTGGAACAGTTGGAGAAATGGGATTATACAAAACCAATTCCATGGTTTGACTCATCTGCCCACCCTCAAAATCAGTTCTTGTCCCATATTGTGTTTCCAGAGGCGACCCATATGGCGGAAACACCGGACTATGATATCCCTGAGCTGCCACAGACACTTCAAGAGTCTTCACTCTAATCTCCATATCCCTAAACTTCTCCTCAATGGCATGAAAGCCATTTTTCACCACCTCTGTTAGTGAGGCAAGAGATGCAACAACTTTAGCAATATCAGAACTCTCTTTCTCAGGGACTTCTTGCTCAGGGGCTTGTTGCTCAGGGTCTTCATTCTCAAGAAACTTATTACCAATCTCTCGGGACGCCTGGTCCAGCTGGTACATTCCTTCCCACCATATCTTTTTCTTCTTTTCTACTAGACGCTCTCTCCAACTGTCAACAATGATATCAATATGCCCTAGGCCATCATCAACATTATCTTAAATGATTCCAGCCAACAGAGATTTCTCATATTGGTCTGGTACCAAGATGCTGTCAATATCCTGTGATTACACATACATTTAACTTAGACTCTTGATCAAATACATGACACAAACCAAATAATCAAATGAAGCCAGAAACTCTAACCTTGCTAGTCCCAAGCTCTTGATATATTTCTTCCAAAGGGATACCTTTCATGCCAGATTCTTTAAACTTGTGTTTGCACATCTTTGGACAGCCATTTGATGCACGTACAAGTACTCTATATTTCAGTCCAAGATGTGGAATACACTCATAAGGCAGAATCTACAAAAAAACACACACAGTTAATATCATAAAACCATATATACAACTTCAAATACTCAGACATCAAAAACAAAGGCTTACCTCCAGAGGTACAATGAATCCACTAAAGCTAGGTTGAGCTTTAGGTTTGACAGACCCATTCAAATTCTTCATCATATTCCGGATCCCTTTCATACATTCCAAGAAGGAATACCGGCCCCATTGATATGTCTCACATGCATCCAAATCATCAACAATCCTTAAAATAAAGGATTCTATGTTTCCATCACTTTTTGAGCTTGCTTTTACTACCTTCCATAGGAAATACAAGACTACTAACTTCTTCTTATCATCTCCTTTCCAACTCCTCTTTTCCTTCAACTTAACTAATACATCAGACGCCTTTATCTTCTCAGTCCTTTTGAACATTCTCTTCACAAACTTCAGATTCCCCATATTCTCATGGTTCTTCGGGTATTCCTTGCAATTAAACCCAGTTAGCAACGCATGCTCTTTGATGGAGTACCTAATAGGTACTCCATTAACCACAAACCAGCACTCCCTCTCCATATCTGTCTCAACTGTGCGCAGCATAAGCATCCACATGCCTTGAGTCATGTGGTTTGGCTCCCTAGGCATGTGGAATACATGCTTGAACTGAGGGTGGCTTCTGAACCATCCTGCTTCCTCTTTAAACTCTTCCTCTATCCACTTCACTGTCTCAGTGACATTACACCTAGTTCCTATTTTACATCCTTTGGTGTATTCTGAATACATTTTCTCTGGCGGCAGTGGCTGGGAATCATCTTCATCATCATCATTACTAGAATCATCATCAGCTGTTATACCAGCAATGTCCTTACTAGCTTCAGCAGCCTCATCCTCTATACCAAAATCCTCTTCGGCCTCTATACCAACATCCTTTACAGCTTCTATACCATCTTTACCAGCAACAACAACACCATCCTCATCCTTTTTACCAGAATTACCAGCAGCATCATCCTCTTCCTCGGCCTCAAATGTATCCTGCATATTCAAAACACAATCCCTGAGTTTAAGTAGTTGAACTAGTTATATTAAAACACACAATTCAAACATATATATAATCGGGAGAAGTTTAACTAGTTGTATCAAAACACATAAAATCAAACCTATATATACTCCGATTCAATTATACCAACAAATAAATTCAAAACTATATATACTCATATTCAAAGACAACCTAATTCAATAGTTGAACTAGTTGTACTATGACTTTCCTAATCCATTCTCAAACTAATGTATACCTGAGCATTAACGTTCTCTTCCTCTTCTTCTGATGCATCCACGAGTTCCTCCTCTGCAGCCTCTCGTGCTTCAGTACTCGGTTCTATCGGACTCTCATTTCCAACTTGAATATCTGAATCATCAACTGCTTCTTGTCTTTCAGCATCATCCCTTTCCAACTCGACGGTTTCGTTTGCAAGTTGACTCTCAGAATCATCAAGTGCTGCTTCTTCTGTCGGATCAATTTGCATCCCGACGCTTTCACTTCCAGGTTTGACCATAGAAGCATCTGGTTCTGTCGGATCTGCGGTTTCTTTTCCAGGTTCGACCGAAGCATCCGCTGGTTCTGTCGGACGCCTCGCCGTCGATTCATACACCCCTTCACCGTCTCTTACACGAGCCATTGCAAAATTCCCCAGATTTTTGACGGATTTGCGGATTTGGATATGAACAGGGAAAAGGGCGATGCGAAATTCGACTTAGAAGGTGAGAATGGAGAAGAAATCGACAATATAGGAGAAGAAATCCAAGAAATCAAAGAAATCGGAAATTTAACTTAGGGTTTCGAAAAATGAAAGAAATGGAAATCGATTCGATTTTCTTCAGAGTGAGAAATAATGAAACGGTTTCGTTTTCTCGTTTTTTACACAGTTGGGCTTCGTCGGATGGGCTTCGCTCGATAAAATCATTGGGCTTGGGTCGGATAAATCGTAACGGATCGACGAGATCTGATGTTGTCTATTTTAACTGGGTTTTTCGTCTTTTCATAATAATTGATTTAAATTCTTTTAAATTTTATTCATCAAATAAAACTAAAATAGAAGGGTGGCAAACCAGCCAACTTTTTCTCAGAAAGTGGCAAACCAGCCATTGTTTCCACACATCGATCTCTCTCAATTCTCTCCACCAAAATCTTTGACATTTTGTGCTTTCAATCCGAAATCCTTAGCCCATTCGATTAACTCCTGTACCATATCCCAATTCTATCTCTTTCTCCATCGATTTCAAGGTACAAAAGTCATTCTCACACTCTTTAAGCTTTTATATGATGGCTGCTGAAATATATTAACTGCATCAAATGAAAACCACAATGATTTGGTTTTCTCTGCATGACCACATACAAGTCACTGTCAAAGGTTTCTGGTTATAATTTTGGTGGAACATAATTTTTTATCTTGGCTCATAAATGGTTTGATACCTTGATGTTAGTATAGAATATTTTTCCTTTGTTTTAAGTTAACCTTAAGAACAAAACTATAATCAGATGTATATATGATATAATTTGTGAAGAATCTGCATATATTGATGGTGATTTGCTAGACGGAGACAAAGTCATTAGTCATTTTTTTCGGTTTTTACGTCTGAGACTACACTGGCCTTGGATATACAAGATACAATGCTAATGATGTACATCAAGATGTTTTGGGGTAAGCATATTGCTATGTACATCGGCATCCTTGATGATGTTAATAGTTGTCTGCTCATTCTTCACATGATCCAGGTGTGTAGTGGAGAATAAAGTTCTTCAGAGTTCTCAGCTATCTTGTGTACATGTAATTTGAATTGATAAGATTTCTTTAAGAAAGATGTGTTATTTGAGCCCATGCTTGTAACTCGCCTTTCACTTGTCTTTTTGCATGTCTACTGCAGTATTTTTTTGCTCGTTTCAAAACCTTCACATCCAGCTGCCTTATTTGATTAGTGTAGAGAGTGCGATTTTGAGGAGTTGGTCCTAATTGCTTATTACCCTTCTTCAAATTATCAGTCAGATTATTTGACTTTAGAGACTTATCAGTTTGGCATGTTTTCTAGTTTCTTAAATGAGAGGGTTTGATATTTGTAGGAATCAGATCTCCAGAAGACTGTTTACCCTGCGAGGTTAAACTCGATGGATATGCTACCTAGCTCTTCGTTGACAGGTCTTGGTAAAGTACCATCCGCAACAGATTTGTTTATGCGAGGATGCCTTGCTAAGCTGGAGCTAAGTGATGCAAAACTGGTGGTAGGTGTTATCGGTTTGCTAGATTTGAAGTATTTGCTTTTCATAACTCGGCAAAAAGACAGTCAGGGTTTTGAAGAATTCTCCAAACCTGTTTGGCCAATAAAGCTTGATTAAATGCTTCTAAATCTCTGAATCCTAAACCTCCATTCTCCTTTGCCAAACATAACTTATCCCAGCTTAACCAATGGATCTTCTTTTTATTCTCCATTGAATTCCACCAAAAACTTGACATAGCTGAAGTAATCTTTTCATGTAGTTTTTGGCAGTTTAAAACATGACATGGCATAGACTGGGAGGGCCATAGCAGCCCATAGCAATTGCTTTAAGAAGAATTTCCTTTCATCCAAGTGATAATGTACGCTCAAACCAACCAGGGCCATAACATTTGAACTTTAGAACCACTAAAGCATTTTGGGAGTCCAAGATATGTACCTGTTCCACCTTCATTGTGAATGCCTGTCAGAGATTTGATTGTTTTTTTGTATCTGAGGATCAACTTTGGAGCCAAAGGTTATGGAAGAATTTGAGAGATTAATTCGCTGCCCTGTAATTGTTCCATAGTAGTCAAGAATTTGCTGAAGCTTATGTGCTTGTTCAAAAGAAGCCTTACACCTGAATAAACTGTCATCAGCAAACAAGTGATGAATGGCTGGACCTGTTGGTGAAAATTGAATTCCTTGTATAGATCATTTCTCTTTCAGCTCTGTTCAACATATGAGTGAGTCCTTCAGTACAAAGAACAAAAAAGAAAAGGAGAGATAGGGTCACTTTGGCTCAAACCTCTCTGTGGTACTATCATGCCATAAGGTTGGTCATTGATTAAAACTGAGTAAGCCACCGTAGAAACACAAACCATGACACAATCAATTCATTTTTTGTGAAAGCCAATTGCCATTAAAAGCCTTTTTAGATAGCTCCATTCTAACCGATCAAAAGCTTTTGACATATCAGTTTTAATGGCCATGTATTCAGAGGAGATAGTAGAGTGAGTCCTTAGCATGAATCATCTCATGAGCAATAGAAATATTGTCAGAAATCAGTCTTTCTGAAACAAAGGCTGTTTGAGTAGGAGAAACCACTGAAGGAAGTAACGGTTGCAGTCTTGATGTCAAGATTTTGGAGATAATCTTGTATAATACAAAACATAGACTAATAGGTCTGAGATCAGACATCTGATTTGGGTGTAATACCTTTGGAAGAATACACAGCTGAGTGAAGGAAAGGAGCCTGTGGAAACAAATTTCTGAATTTCCATGGTAACTTGAAGACCTATGATCTCCCAATATTTCTGAAAGAAAAGACCTGTCATGCCATCAGAGCAGGGTGCACTAGAAGGGTTTATCGAGAAGACAGCCTGTTTAATCTCTTCAGAAGAAACTGGACTTATCAAAGACTCATTCATACTTGGAGAAACTTTAGGTTCAAAATCATGAAAAAGCCAGTCGAAATTTCCAGGAGAAGAGGTTTTAAATAAGTCTATAAAGTAAGCTGTGGCAATTTCACCTTTAGAAGCTTCTGATTTTTTTATTATTGCCATTGCAATCTTTCAAAATGTCTATTCTCTTTTGTGTTCTGTTGGCTTAGACAGAAGCATGGAAAAACTTCGTATTATGAGATCCTTCTTGCATCCATTTTTCTCTACTTTTTTTACTCCAATATGATTCTTCCTCTCTATAAGCTTGATTTAACTGATTCTTGAGGTTATTCATTTGAATTGTTGAAGGAAGAACTGAAGACTGCTCTTGTTCCAAAGCGATCTGAAGCTGAGAGAGCCTGTCCTGAGAGTTTAAACAGTTTTTTCTTTTCCATTTGCCGAGGGCTCTCCTGCAGTATCTAAGCTTGTCAGAAACTGAAGATAAATGGGACGGATAGGTATTTGACGTCCAAGCAGTAGATATAGTTTCTTTCACAAGATGTTTATTTAAAAACCTTTTATCAAATCTGAAATTGCCTCTGTAAACCTCAGTGGAAGACCTTTTCTCTTATGCACTACAACTTTCTGAAGACCTTTATCCTGTTCAACCTTTTTCAAAGAAGAGGAAATAGGTGTACCTTGAAGTTTCTTCCTTGGTTTGTAGGTCTTTTTTCGAAAATAAGCCTTGCTTGTAGCAGGTTTAGAAGTAGTAGCTTCAGAGAAAGTAGATTTATCAAAGAGAAACCCTGAAGAAGGCAAGAGTGCTTTAGCTGTAGGCTTGGTGATATTGGTGTCAGTAGAAGCTCCAAAATTCACTATAATACAAAACATAGACTAATAGGTCTGAGATCAGACATCTGATTTGGGTGTAATACCTTTGGAAGAATACACAGCTGAGTGAAGGAAAGGAGCCTGTGGAAACAAATTTCTGAATTTCCATGGTAACTTGAAGACCTATGATCTCCCAATATTTCTGAAAGAAAAGACCTGTCATGCCATCAGAGCAGGGTGCACTAGAAGGGTTTATCGAGAAGACAGCCTGTTTAATCTCTTCAGAAGAAACTGGACTTATCAAAGACTCATTCATACTTGGAGAAACTTTAGGTTCAAAATCATGAAAAAGCCAGTCGAAATTTCCAGGAGAAGAGGTTTTAAATAAGTCTATAAAGTAAGCTGTGGCAATTTCACCTTTAGAAGCTTCTGATTTTTTTATTATTGCCATTGCAATCTTTCAAAATGTCTATTCTCTTTTGTGTTCTGTTGGCTTAGACAGAAGCATGGAAAAACTTCGTATTATGAGATCCTTCTTGCATCCATTTTTCTCTACTTTTTTTACTCCAATATGATTCTTCCTCTCTATAAGCTTGATTTAACTGATTCTTGAGGTTATTCATTTGAATTGTTGAAGGAAGAACTGAAGACTGCTCTTGTTCCAAAGCGATCTGAAGCTGAGAGAGCCTGTCCTGAGAGTTTAAACAGTTTTTTCTTTTCCATTTGCCGAGGGCTCTCCTGCAGTATCTAAGCTTGTCAGAAACTGAAGATAAATGGGACGGATAGGTATTTGACGTCCAAGCAGTAGATATAGTTTCTTTCACAAGATGTTTATTTAAAAACCTTTTATCAAATCTGAAATTGCCTCTGTAAACCTCAGTGGAAGACCTTTTCTCTTATGCACTACAACTTTCTGAAGACCTTTATCCTGTTCAACCTTTTTCAAAGAAGAGGAAATAGGTGTACCTTGAAGTTTCTTCCTTGGTTTGTAGGTCTTTTTTCGAAAATAAGCCTTGCTTGTAGCAGGTTTAGAAGTAGTAGCTTCAGAGAAAGTAGATTTATCAAAGAGAAACCCTGAAGAAGGCAAGAGTGCTTTAGCTGTAGGCTTGGTGATATTGGTGTCAGTAGAAGCTCCAAAATTCACTATAATTCCTTTGCCTTTGTCAATTTCAGGAGATATTGATGGTATGGATTGAGAAATATTTCCTGGAATAGGAGCATGAAGAGAAGTCAGTGCCAAACAACCTATCGAAGCTTTAGATTGAGAATCTTTGGTAAAGCGATAAGAGACAGTGGAGTCAGCAAAAAATTGACGAAGTTCTTCTAGAGCCAAAGAATCAATCCTAACACGATCAGAAGTTTTGGTTTTCAAAGGAGCAGACTTATCTGGGAGAGTTTCTTTCTCAGCTTCTTTTAAGGACTGTTGCTGTTGAAGATACCATGGGCAGTGATCTCGTTCATGGGTGAGCCTCTGACAGAAATAACATCGCTTTTGAATCCTTTCATAATCATAGAAGATTGAAGTCTTCTCACCAGACGGTAAATTGACAACTTGAAGAGGTTTTAACAAAGTCTTTGTTTTGAGCTTTAGTTTGATGAAATTCCATGTCAATAACCTGACCTGCTGAGGTAATTAAAACAATAACTGTCAGTCTAGTTTGAAAGGCTTCCACAAAAATAATTCATTTTCTTGTTAGAATATCTTCTCTACTAAATCCAGTTTCAATTAGAATTGTTTAACTTGTTTCTTTCAAAAACTTCAAGTCAGTTATTGTTTTGGTTACCTCAGCAATTATCACGAGAAATTAAGGTCACTGTACTTCTTCACAGAATCCAGTTGAGGTGATTGAGGAGGGAATATAAAATACGCGAAAGATATAACTTAGGACTACATACAGTATGCCAAATGTGCTCCGTTTAACTTACTGATTCCGTAAAGGAAATTAGCAAAAGAGTTTGCTAAAAGCTACAACAAAAGATGATGAGAAACTGAGATGCAACAAAAAAAACTACTCTTATTATCTTCTCCGTTGCCAATGTCTATGAGTTGATTTCTTCACTTCATTGCTTTTTTCTACGCTCGTATGTCTTCACTATCTCTGCTTTTTTCTTCCCTTCCCCTTCCGGAGACCTGAACCAACAGCAAAAAGAAACTCAGCTTATAGACGAAAAGAAACTCAGATTACTAATGCTTTTTGTAGGTAGTGAGAAGATAAGTAAAAGCTCACTTCTTTTCAGTTGGGGGTAACACTTCTTTTCAGTTGGGGGTAAGTCTTGGAGAGCCTTATCGATTGGATTGACTATCCCGTTTGATTTCTCCTCTACGGTTTCCGAAGACCTGACCAACACAAAACAAAAAACTCAGCTTAGACAAAAACAAACTCAGTTTACTGATTTTTTTTTTTAAGGTAGTGAGAAGAGAAGTGAAAAACTCACTTTTCACTTGGAGGTAAGTCTTTGAGAGCCTTATCGACGGCCTTCACTATCACCTTTGACTTCTTCCCTTTCTTTAAATTTTTCGTCTCTTCGGGTTCTGTAGACCTAAACCAACACAAAAAAAATAACTCAAGCTTCAACATAAAAGAAACTCATTTTACTGATGATTGCTATAGGTAGTGAGAAGAGAAGTTAAAACTCACTCCTTTCCACTTAAGTCTTTGAGAGCCCTATCAACTGCATAAATTATCATCTTCTTTACCTGTTTAAGCACACACAGGAATCCAGCAAAAAAAAAACAATTAGAGTGGAGTTGAAAACTTTGCGCAAAAGAACCAGAATTGAGACAACAGATATACCCCTAACTTGTCTTCTTTAGCAAAATGATTTGGTGGAAGTAGACGATATTGTTTTGTCAAGCGTAAACACTCGCTGACATTTTCAGGTGAGACAAAGTCAAGCGCTACCTTTGTGCAAGACTGCAAGAACCAAGAGAACTGTAATGATCAATCGATGAACCTTTTACTGAGATATTAAAAGCCCAATTTGCTCAAATCCACGGTATCCTAAGCTAAAAGAATAGATATTTACCTTCAAATTTCTGACTTGATGTGGGCACCCTACAGGTATTAAGACAGCATCCCCAAGCTTCTGATTAAAGGTCCATGGTTCAATGCCTGCACAATACAGCCTCATAGATATGACCAAAACTGTCAATATAATGTGGAAAGCACGAAAATGTGATTGGTTATTAGTAAAATCCGCCATACCATATTCTTCTTTCAGCTTCGCTATATGATACCGTGTCAAATAGAACGTTTGGTCATGTATTGGATGAGCAATCTGAAAATACGAAGATGGATGAACATATAAGATAAGACAAAAACCAGCACAAAATTGTAGAGAGAGTGGACACAAATAGACACTACATAAGTACATATGTTCAATGAAAAAGAAGAAAAATGGTAAAGTAGGCAAAGTTGGTGTACCTGGGACAAAGGGCAACAGTAGAAATGTCTAAACTCCTTGTAATGTTTCTGAAGGTAATGTTCTAATTTTGGAATGTCTTCTCTACGGAAAATGTCCCAAAGAGCTCCATCATCGGTCTCAACATTTTCGACTTCTTGGCTAGACTTTTCAAGAATCTCCATCATTTCCTCCTTGTTAGCTACTGAGGAATACAGCTCCTTGAGATCTTGTTCAGCATGCTTCTTTTTCAGTTTTTCAATATCAGGTTGCTTTTCCCTTCTAATGGGCACTTCAGATATGTGCGTCAAAACATTTACCTGAAATAACCAACACAGCAATAAAGATATTAAACAAATTTAGATAATAGAGAGAGATTAATACTGTATAAAATATAATGTCAGTGGACCTTTTATTAGGAACTTAATTAGTACGATTTATAAAAGAAAGGTTTGGTAACTCCGCTGATCGGAAACAAGGAAAGTCCCACCAAAAAGAGCAAGAAGATTCAGCCATCCAAACTCTTCAGATGAGTATAAACAGTTTTATATGAAAGCATGTTTACCAATAGGAAGGGAGCAAACTTTCAATGTGGCATTATCTTAAAGATTCTTAACATTTATTGCATCCTAACAAATTGAGAATTTGAGTAAATTATAACAAATACTGCAAGATTGATGTTGGTCCTTTTATTTTACCGGCAACGACTACCGATAACAGATGGCAGGAAGTTAAGTTCAGAAAAGAACAATGAACGACATATGGTAAACTTTTTTTATTGGTTGTCATCAGTTTTACGATAGACAACAACAATAGTTGGCGACTGCAACTGACAATATATTGGCTTGGACAAGCGGACAAAGGAAAAAAAAAAGAAGTAAAAAGCTAGTAATTCTTTTTGTATATATATTAAGGATAAATGGTATACCATTTGTTTACATTAGAAATTGTGATTTTGTTAATTTTTTACTATTCAAAATATTTTTTAAAGTTTTCACGTTTAAAAAAAAGAATCCTTTTAAGTTCTAATGAAATTATTGATTTGTCAAAAAAAAAGAAAAAACTGCCACACAAATGAAGAAGAGAAAACTAATCCTAAATGTAATTAAAAAAAATCAAAATGGACTGATGTAGGTATGATTCTATTACGAAATAAAATCTGATCCTGTTGTTTTACTATGTGCTGAAATGTGAAATCATTATGGGGTATACCAAGGGAAACTATCAGAAGAAGCGACATAAGTATAACAAAGAAATGAAAATGAACACGAGAAAAGACAAAACATAAGGGTACTAACCGCATCAGACATGTCGCAATGGAGCTTAGTAACAGAATCTCCACGGCCAAATTCTTGCGCAAATCCATAAGCAATATACGTCTTTGGCCCCATGTCTGGCTTCAAGCAATTTTTAGGCAGTTTGACAGCCAGATTCAAAGGTCCATTAGTTGGGTGAGTGTACTGCTTCAAAGGCAAACTGCATAAGAAGTTAAGAACTCCTCCGAATGACGTGGCAAATTTTCTTCGAAGAACTTAGATGAGGCCAATCTTTCA